ATGCATCCACATAGTATATCATGTTGTTTCTTCAAAATACTCACTATCCCTCCCGAGGACAGGATAATTCATCCATAACCATTGACATTGTGCTTGTCATATGATTAACTTCAGGTAATGGAAGGTAGTAGAAGTGAAGGGTTCTCCCTAGCAGAAAATTTAAGGGCCACCTTTCCCCCCTGTCCCAGTATACCCCACATAGTGGCTGCTCCTTTAGCCTGGGTCCTGGAAGTGAAGACAACATGAAATACAGCCCAAATCAACCCTCCATAAGAATATGGTGTGAGGGGAAAAATAAACTTGTAAGTCACCACGGTTTTTGGCTTATTTGTTATTACACCATAGTTTGGGGGTAAGCTGACTGGTCTAACTAAGCACATGGGATTTTAAACCTGGTTTTAGAACAGTCTAAATGTAATCCTGGTGCACTCTTGATTTCTGTAGGACCTCCCCAGGGCAGGCAATGACTGGGTGATAAACGATTCTCCATGTGAGATTCAAGGTCCAGGTGAATGCAGTGACTTCCCCTGAGATGTCTGAGAAGTGAGCCACTCTGGTTGTGGCTGAGCCATAGTCCCGTTGTCATGAGCAACCATTTATATCTGTATTCTGGTCAAACTATCATAAAATTCTAGGGTCAGAAAACATCTCTGGGACTGGAGACACATCTTGAGATATTATAGTGGTTGTCAGTGGGGAAGGGTTTGGGGAAGGGAGGGCCGGAGAGGGGGATGATGCTGGAGATCTGCAGTGTTCATTCCTGTTTTTCTTCTTTCCAATGAAAGCTGATTCCATGATGGGAATTTCCATCTGTGAAGAACAGTTTTTCTTTTCCTCCCCAAACTAGAAAATTCAGCAACTGTACCTAGAGTTCTGTTGGAGAAGTAGCTGAACTCAAAATGCATTAGGGATCCAACTGCAGTTCAGTGTTGGTGGAGTCAGCAATGTGCAGCAGCCCCTTAAAGAAGTCAAGGTGTGGTTTCCTCCTGGGATGACGTCACCAGGACCATTGACAATAGTGCTGGTGGAAAGTTGAATAAAACAGTTAGTTGAGTCTTTGAAGACAGAGACAGTAGATGAGCAGAAGATGACACATTAAAAGTAGCAAAGGGCAGGAAGCTGATTTCTTCCCTCACATTCAGGTTAGGGTGGATTAAGGACAGAGGCACCAGAGAATTAGTTTTTGACTTTGAAATCCTGTTTGGCCTCAAGGATTCCCCCTCTGTCTTCCAGAATAAACAAAGAATCAATCCTCATAAAACACCTGCACCTTAAGAAGGTCACCTAGGGTAGGGATATTGATTTTGCAGATAGAAACTATAGAGGGTGAGAGTGGCCAGTAAGGGTCACTGGTGGTCTGTCATGCACTGTAGCCCAACATCATCACTGTCACCATGTCGTCAGGACAGCCTGCACGGCTTGATCCCCTTGAAAGAGAGGCAGTACCAGCTAGCTAGTCAAGGGCATGGGCTCTGTGGGCAGAAAAACCTAAATTTTGTATCTTGATTGTGCTTACATTCATTTTTCTTGGGAAAGTGGTAGAGCCTTCTCCAGCCCCAATTTTATCAAACACTAAAAAGAGCAATAGTTCCTAACTTATGCTGTGGTTTCAAGGTTTAAGTGAGAGAATTCATACAAAGTGCCTATCGCAAAGTTGGGGCATAAGAAATGCTTGCGCAGCACTAGCTAGTATTATAGATCCTAGTCTTAGCTGAGAAATGTCAAAATGAAAGGTGGTTTAGAATTGCTGCACAAGTTCTCATTTTTAAACAGTTATAAAGTTATAAAAAGAAGTGGATTGCATCTTTAGGCCTAATATGTCTATTACTAATGGCAGAAGTTATAACCAAGAATACACTACCTGTTCAATAGACTTTGACAACAAGATACCACCTCAGTGGTGTTTGCAGGCGAACTGGAATTGAAGGCATTCTCCAAAATGAGATGGCAGTTGATGTCTACTGGGGTGCTGGAGAGCATCCCTGGAAGTGGAAAAGTGCCATTTATTTTATTAATTAATGTTACCGAGCCTTCCTTCTGTTCTTAGCTTCTCCACCATGCTCTGCACATTTCACTTGGCAATATGCTCAACAGCAGCTCTGCCTCTCAGCTTTCTGTGGTGGCATATGCTGCACATTTGGGTTGGAGGCATGCCCCCCCCCAAAAGCTGCCATTCTGTGGATTTGGGGAGATAGGACACAGAGGACAGCAGGCGGTACCTGCAATGCAGGCTGTCATGAAGCAGGCGACGGTCCCAGCGATCAGAGCTCTCACTGCCCCTGAGGCGATATCATGCTTTCTGGAAGGAGCCATGGATGCTGGGGAACATGAAAATATGAGATTAATGTTGAGACTGTTAATTAGAATTCCAAATTCCCAGCCTCTGAGAACTGTTCTGAGGCTATGCATGTCAGGTCAGTGACTTTTCTTTTTTTCCAAATTAGCTGGGAAAATCAAGATTCAAGAGCTTAGTGATGAATTAGCTGCATGTCCAGAGAAGTTCTCTGGCATGGGAGGAAGGGAAGAAACTTGTTCATACAAGAAGGCCCAGAGGTTTCCATTTTCTTTTTATTTTTTTTAAGTTTACTTATTTATTTTTGAGAGAGAGAGAGAGTGAGATAGAGAGGAAAGGGGATGCAGAGAGAGGAGGAGAGAGAGAACCCCAACCAGTCTCTGGGCTGTCAGTGCAGAGCCCTACGCAGGCCTCAAACTCACAAACCGTGAGATCATGACCTGAGCCGAAATCAAGAGTTGGACACTCAACTAACAGAGCCACCCAGGCACCCCAGACTCTTCCATTTTCTACAGAGGAAACAAGTCCTAAGTTTTATCCTAAATTTCACCATAGTATATGGAGGGCATGCAAGGCCAAGCAAATTTCAAGGAAAGATCCAAAGATCTGCAACTCATCGTCACCATCTACTTCTGTGCAGACATCACTAACTATTCACAGCATTTTCCCACTTTCATTGGGCCTCAGAATCCTTCCTCACCTGGCCGTTAGAAATCTGCAATTGGCATACAAAGTGGAACCTATCTCACCCCTGGGTGGAGAAGAACTTGTACATTTGGACAAATTCTTCCTGAGGTTGGCTTGGATATACATGAGAAAACTATATTGCAGAGCAGGGATGAAAAATGGACCCCAAAGGATTTATTCCTGTCCCAGGGCCTTTTTTTCCCCTGACACAAATAATGTTACAGAGCAAGATGGATATTGAAAGTATATTCTTTTCACTTACTGAGTCCGCCGATCACTATTCCTAGGGAACCGAAATTAGCAAAGCCACAGAGAGCATAAGTGGCAATTGTCTCAGAACGAATCTGTAAATAAGCATAAACATATAGATGTATACATGGTGTGACCCAGCTTAGTAAATCTAATATCCTAACTAGGCTTCCTTTTCTGACTATGAAATCAATATTGGCGAGTAAATGTGCAGTGAGTGATGTCAAACACCTGTTGGTTTGTAGACTCTTTTTTTCCATTTCCCCTTGAATTTTGAGAGAGAGAGAAAGGGATTCAGAGACTCTCTATAAAGGAGTTGGAATTGGTAGTCTTGGCCTCTACAAATGCTACTTTCTGCCCAATGATAACTTTTTTTTTAAGTTTATTTAGTTTGAGAGAGAGAGAGAGAGAGCGAGCAAGAAAGCACAGAAGGGTCAGAGAAAGAGAGAGAGGATCTCAAGCAGGCCATGCGCTATCAGCATGGAGCCCAATGCAGGGCTAGAACTGGTGAAATGTGAGATCATGACTTGAGCCGAAGTCAGAAGCTTAAGTGACTGAGCCATCGAGGTGTCCCTGATGAAAACTTCTAATGTTCAGTATGACCTGGCCACCTGCTATAATGTGCCAGGCACAGTGCTAGCTACTGAAGATATAAATTTGGTCCCAGAAAATACTCACATTACATTTGTGAGACAAAGGACTTACTTAGAATGTATAAAGAGCTGTTATTATTTATTTATTTATTTGTTTGTTTGTTTGTTTATTTATTTTGAGAGAGAGAGAGAGAGAGAGAGAGAGAGAGAGAGAGAGAGAGAGAATTCCAAGCAGGCTCTGTCCTGTCAGCACAGAGTCCAATATGGGGCTTGAACTCATGAACCTTGAGATCGTGACCTGAGCCAAGATCAAGAGTCGGACATTCAACCAGCTGAGCCACCCTGGTACCCCAAGCTGTTATAATTTAATGAGAAGACAAGCACCCGATAAAAAACAGTTAAGGAGATTTCACAAAAGACATGCAAATGGTCAAAAAGCACGAGAAGATATTTGACATCATTAGTCACCAGGGAAATGCAAATCAAAACAATAAGATACCACTAAAATGGCTAAAAAAATTGGACAATACCGAGTGTTGATGGGGATGTGGAACAATTGGAAATCTTGTACATTGTTGTTGGGAATGTAACAGGACACAGCCTGTTTATAAAATACAAACATACTCGGCAGTTTCTATCAAGTTAATAGGCATAGCCTGTATGACCCAGCAATAACACTCTTTGGAATTTTCCCAGGAGAAATAAAAACATACGTCCACAAGAAGATTGTACGTGAGTGTTTATGGCAGCTGTATTCATAGCAGCTTCAAGCTGGAAGCAACCCAAAGCAACAGGCAAGTGGATCAACAAATTATGGATATCCCTAAGACAGAATACTACTCTGTGGTAGGAAGGAAAATAATGGATGTGTGAAACAAGATGAAGCGAGTCCATTTGTATGAAATTTTACAAGCAAAAGTAATCTAGAGTGAAAGAAGGGTCAGGCTGTCTGGGAATGAGGAGGTGGGTGGGGGTATTTTTGACTGCAACTTGCCAGGACAGAAAATTCCTAGCTGTGATAGCAATGTTCTATATGTTCATTGTGGTTGTGGTTACACAGATGATACGTTGATCAAAACTTGTATATACACCAAAAAAGGGCCTTTTTTGGTATGTGAATTATACTTCTGTGAAAAGGAATTATATTAATAAAATGGAAACTCACAGATATCTTAGGAGTTCCTTTCATGCTGGCTGTGGTAGTGTGCTTGCCTTTCTTTGGTCCCCAGCTCTAACCATCCCATAGGAATATTAGGTGCCCCTTTAGAAGTAGGAGAATGAATGAGTCCTTTCACAGGGCAGTAGGAAGATGGAAGGTAAATTCATAGAAGCGTGAACATAGCCCTCTGGCTCTATTCTGATAGCCAGGAGGTGCTGCTCAGGACAGATCATTCTTTCTCAGGTTGAGGGACTGACCACAGGACACTCAGAAGATTCAGTGGACTCTATGGTCCACCAGAAGGTCACCCAATCTGGCAAAGGCACCCACACAACTGAGGCAATTATTTTCTTTTCCAAAATCCTGAAAAATCTGTGATTTGGTTTAAAGAACAGACCGGGAAAATACTACATTCAAAAGTAGTGGTGCCTTTTTATCCTCCACCCCCCACCTCCCCAACTAACTGGATTTTTTAAAGCTCACATTCAAGACTCAAGTGGTCATGGTAAATTTTTTGTTGATTATAAGGACCCTCTTCTCTTTCGTGGTTTCTGAGAATGCCTTTGTTGAAATTTTCAATCAGTGTGCATATTGCAGGCAGGAAAAAAATATTTCAAGTATTTGAGCAGTCCGCTGTTTCCGGAGCTCATTGTCATTCCCTGCTCTCTCTAGTGCTTTTCATTTAGTTCAATAGGCTTCAAAAACAGGCAGGCTTATTAAGAGACTGTGGGGAGGAAGATGGCACAAAGTGCTTGAGATTCCTCTTTCCTCTTTTTGGAGATCTGTGGGAAGGGGATACACAGATGTGGCCATGTAAGGTTTTAAAATAAGAGGAAAAGGAGGCTGAAACGATTCCACTTTGCCTTCCCCCATAAATGTGCAAGATTACGTGATGGGAAGAGCTGCACTGGGAAAATAATAATGCATCATGCAGTTCTTGCACATGAGCAGAGATACCATACGTACAAGGACAGTCATTGCATTACTTCCAATGGCAGAAAATGGATAACAGTGTCCATCAACAAGGGACTGGTTAAATTAAATAATGGTGTGTTCATACCATAGACTACTATTTCACAGACACTGATGGGGAAAGGGATCTGAGACAGGTTATTATGTGCAAAGAGCAAGTTTAAGAACAATGAGTGTTATGGTTACAGGGAGAAGAGCCGAGTGGCAGAGATATAGGGTGGTGACTTCCTTTTCCTTTTCACCTTTTTGTGCCTTTTGAATTCTGTATGATGGTATGTATGAATTAAGTGTAGACAAATAAATATACAAAGTATTACTTAAACATTTAATTTACATCCAAGTTAGTTAGCATATAATGCAACAATGATTTCCTTAATGCTTCTTACCCATTTAGCCCATCCCCTCTCCCACAACCCCTCCAGCAACCCTCTGTTTGCTCTCCGTATTTTTTTTTTAATTTTTTTTTCCAACGTTTATTTATTTTTGGGACAGAGAGAGACAGAGCATGAACGGGGGAGGGGCAGAGAGAGAGGGAGACACAGAATCGGAAACAGGCTCCAGGCTCTGAGCCATCAGCCCAGAGCCCGACGCGGGGCTCGAACTCACGGACCGCGAGATCGTGACCTGGCTGAAGTCGGACGCTTAACCACTGCGCCACCCAGGTGCCCCCCTGCTCTCCGTATTTAAGAGTCTCTTATGTTTTATCCCCCTCCCTGTTTTTATATTATTTTTGCTTTCCTTCCCTTGTGTTTGTCTGTTTTGTATCTTAAATTCATCATATGAGTGAAGTCATATGATATTTGTCTTTCTCTGACTAATTTCGCTTAGCATAATACCCTCTAGTTCCATCCATGTAGTTACAAATGGCAAGATTTCACTCTTTTTGATTGCCAAGTAATAGTCTATTGTATATATATATACCACATCTTCTTTAGCCGTTCATTCATCTATGGATGGGCTCTTTCCATACTTTGGCTATTGTTGATAGTGCTGCTATAAACATTGGGGTGCATGTGTCCCTTTGAAACAGCATACCTGTATCCCTTGGATAAATACCTACTAGTACAGTTGCTGGGTCATAGGGTAGTTCTATTTTTACTTTTTTGAGGAACCTCCATACAGTTTTCCAGAGTGGCTGCACCAGTTTGCATTCCCACCAGCAGCGCAAAGTTGTTAATGTTAGCCATTCTGACAGGTGTGAGGGGGTAGCTCATTGTGGTTTTGATTTGTATTTCCCTGATGATGAGTGATGTTGAGCATTTTTTCATGTGTCGGTTGTCCATCTGGATGTCTTCTTTGGAGAAGTGTCTATTCATGTCTTTTGCCCATTTCTTCACTGGATTATTTATTTTTTGGGTGTTGAGTTTGATAAGTTCTTTATAGGTTTTGGATACTAACCCTTTATCTGATATGTCATTTGCAGATATCTTCTCCCATTCCATCATTTGCCTTTTAGTTTTGCTGATTGTTTCCTTTGCTGTGCAGAAGGTTTTTATTTTGATGAGGTGCTAATAGTTCATTTTTGCTTTTGTTTCCCTTGCCTCTGGAGACGGGTTGAGTAAGAAGTTTCTGTTGGGCCAAGGTCAAAGAGGCTTTTGCCTGCTTTCTCCTCGAGGATTTTGATGGCTTCCTGTCTTACATTTAGGTCTTTCATCCATTTTGTGTTTATTTTTGTGCATGGTATAAGAAAGTGGTCCAGGTTCATTTTTCTGCATGTCGCTGTCCAGTTTTCCCAGCACCACTTGCTGAAGAGACTGTCTTTATTCCATTGGATATCCTTTCCTGCTTTGTCAAAGATTAGCTGGCCATATGTCTGTGGGTCCATTTCTGGGTTCTCTATTCTGTTCCACTGATCTGAGTGTCTGGTTTTATGCCACAAAGTATTACTTTTATTTTGGGAAAGAAAAGACGATGGGGTAAGGAAGAGCTCATTTTGCAGATGACATGCTACGTACATATTCTGACCTGGACAACACTGGGTTTTGCTTCAGGGACCCAGATCTTATGCTTCAGTCATGTGTTGCTTTTTCCAGGAGATGCTGTGACATCCCCACTGCTTGTTGGTTGGTAAACAAAAACTGCAGGGACTCATCCCCATTTTGTCGACCGGAAATAAGAAATGGGAAAAAACAAAATGCTTTTGCCATTATGACTCGACAGTAGCAGAAACTACTGAATTCCTGTCTCCAGATCTCTCCTGTGGGTCGGACTCTGGTGGGGGCTCACCCTCAACCCAAATCAGCTCTACTGTTGTGTCTCTGTTCTCTTAGTAACTGTTCACAAGCCCACTCAATACTGCTGGGATCGTGAGCTTGCTCAGCTCATGAACAAAACTACTTTCTCCTGGCAACTGACAGTTGGGGATGGAAAGCAATTCACTTAATTTAGCCTATTGTTTACTTTTGGCACGGAAGCACACTGGTTTGTGGTGGCATCCAAACAATGAAGACATTCTGCCAAGCTGCACTGCATGGCCAGTTGAAGAACAGACATTGAAAAACAGGAGACCTACAGAGCCACTGTATCCGATGTGTGGGTCAAACGACCTGGACCATAAAACACAGATCAGTACTCTCCTGGAGTAGGCAGTTCCATTTGTGTAGTATATGTGAGTAAATTTGCATGTTTGGTCCTTTGCTGGGAAGATGGTAGTGTTGTCCAGTGGCAGGCGATTTCAGAGCCTTGGGCAGCATGATTTTCCTCCTCTTTCCTTTTAAAGCTGAATACAGGCCTAGAACCTTAATTACAAGTGGCTTTTTAAATTTTTAATTTTGTTTTCTAATGTTTACTTATCTTTGAGAGAGGGAGGCAGAGTGAGAGTGGGAGACACAGAATCCAAAACAGGCTCCAGGCTCTGAGCTGTCAGCACAGGGCGTGTATCAGGGCTCGAACCCACAAACCATGAGATCCTGACCTGAGCCAAAGTTGGACGCTCAACCGACTGAGCCAGCCAGGTGCCCCACAAGTGGCTTGTTTCAATGAGTAATGGCGGTGGTCAGAAATGTCCACCATTTCCCTAAGACTTTCCACGTGTGTGACAATTCTGTTCTTCAGGAAAGTAAACATTGGAGATGTGGCTATATAATATGACCTAAGTAATGGCTTCCCCTGAGTTCCCTTAGCCCTTCCAAGGCCAAGTGGACATGACCATCTCCTTACAGCCTATTGACCTGAAGTCCTGACACCATTACAGGATGTTTGTCTCCAAAGTTCAGACCACTTCCCAAGATTTTCTCTTCCCTCATCCACTTGTGTCTCACTACTTCTTTAAGATGTCCAGGGACTGTCTTGCATTTGGGCAGTTCCTCAGAGTTCATAGAATTTCAAAAGCTGGAAGGAAGAGACTTTCAAGATGATTAGACTATGAGCCCATGAGGGCAGATGCCTTAGTACTCCTTCCCTCAGTGCATAGCTGCATTGCAGATAGGAGGCATATGGCAAATATTTGTTGATTGATTGATTCCAGTCCCAGTTCATATGACTCTATATTCGGATCCACAGCTCTCAAAAGTAAATGATCACAGTCGTAAGGATTAGCTGTGTTTCTCTACACACACACACACACACACACACACACACACACACACATGGATTAGTTCAACGCCATTGAAAATTATGAGGTACTATGTTCACTATGAGCCCATGAGATCAGAGACTGTTTTGTCCTCTGTTGTATCCCCAAGTGCCTATCTTGATACACAGAAGCATTAGTACTGTTTGACGAGTGTATGTATGTGATGAAGAAGTATTGAGAAATCAAAGCAGTTACTTACTGACATATATTGCTGCACACCATTCACAAATTTGGGTCCAGCCTCTTTTCTTAAGTTGATCAATTTTGAGAGGTGTTCATAAGCCACAAATTCATTGAAAAATGTCTTATAGCCTATGAGCTTGGCAACCATAAAGCTGTCTTGCCAGTCCACTCCCATCATGAAGGAAAAGGGCATGAAGATGTAGGAGCATATTATCTATAAAACCCCAAAATAGATATTTTATTAGAATGGTGATTTGTTTCTGGTTATTCTGCCTCACGCTTGTGATAAGATCCCCCACCCCTGCCGCTGTGTCTCCTTTAAGCACAGAAATCCCTTCACATTGTCTGACCTATCTCTATCCATTAGGAGTCAAGGTCGGCATTGGTAACCTGGATTCCTGGGTCAGGAGAGAATGGCTGTATGTTGGGGGAAGGAGGGTGATAGGGGGTGGCAGATACATGACAGGCATGTGCATTATGTAAGAGTATACTATAGGTTGTTAGGGAAGGCAATTCACAAACCTATTTTATTTTTAAACAAATATAGGCAGAAACAAAATGGAGAAGAGACATGATATACCTCAAAACTCAGTTGTGGGTAGTCAAACATGTTTCCAAACCAGGACAGGGCTGCATTCAAAAAAGACAACAGGGCCAGGAAGGCAATCAAGTTCACAGCTATGTTTGCCACTAGGGAGATGGATGAGGATGCTCCCTGCGTTGCGGCTTCTAGGAGGTTCCTTGAATCACTTTATTAAAAAATAGCAATTCCAGAATTACCCAGGTGTTGTCAGCGGACGGACATCACAGGTGTAGAAATGGCATGATCAGAGCTCACTTGTTTGGACAAACTCTCAGGCTCATGCCTGGGTCAAAATACTCTTCTAAATTCCATGAAATCATGATGGCATTTATAATTGCTGAATGTAGGTGATGGGTATATGGGTGTCTAACTGTTATACTACTCTGTTAATGGGGGGAGGATTAATAGTTAAAAATCTGTGAAAAGATAAAAATATTGTAGATTTAAAAATTGTATGAAGGTAGCTACTAGAAAATATTTATAAAATATTCACAGTATAAGAACTAATAATTCGAGGAAGGCCTGAATATCCATGACCTCATTTAAGAAATGGAATATCACCATCCCCTTTGAGTGCCTCTGCTTCCTTAATCTCATTCTCTTCTCTTTAATCTCAGAGGTACCTGGCTCCCTAGAAATTGCTCATCATTCCCCTTCTTTTTATTTTTCCTACATCATTTTATGCCTAAATAATATGCTGTGTATATTTACACATTTGCTAACTTTATAAGTGGAATCACACATATTCACTATGTGTATTCTTTGACAACTTGCTTGTCACTCATGGTTCTGACTGTCCCTACATACAGACAAGGAATGAATCTCAGCAACATGTTCATTGGTGGATTCTGTCATTTAATTAAATTCTTTTGACTATCCTAAATCCCTTTGTCTTTTTCACCCCTTTTTCTTTCTTTTGCACAGGACAAAAGAGAACGAATTGAAGAGGGGTTAAAGATACTTATACCACACCTTAATTCTCCTTGTTATATAAGAAACTTCCAGAAATGGTTGTCCCATGTCTTTCCAATGGTCTTAAGTCTGGGCTCAATAAACATATATATTTAAAATGAAATATCTACATTGCACAGTTAAGGAAATGTATTGACATTCAAATATTTGGGAAGTTTTTCAAGAATTGGAAAGAGATTTTTGTGGAAGTCTAGTGAAGTCTAATAGTCACTGGGAAATTAAATTCACTTTAATACCATAATTCGCTGTGCTCTCCGATTGGCAACTTTTTGCTGTATTTTGAATTTGGACCCCCTTCCCCCCACCCCCAACTCCCCAGCTTGTATTAAGTAGGTGAATGCATCCCACTTACCCACTTTCCATTTTCATGGCATTCTGGAGGGTTATTTTAGGTGTTTCTCTCTCAGGCCAAAAGAGTTTAGCCACAGCCAATGATGCAGGTGCGGACATGACTGAGGCAGTTAACAAGTGGGAGGCTGAAACCTGTGATTTCAGGAGAAAGGAGCCAACTGAGGTGTAGTCTTTCTGTTGTGTTCAGAATGAAAATGGCCCGAAAGGCTTACAAGAGAAGAGAAGGGCAGGAATTGAGCCTATGCCAGTAAAGGGTTTCTTTGGAGGCTTGGAAACACTCAGTGAGCAAAGTCGGCATGACCTTGGAGAGTCAGAGGGGGAAGGGAGGAATTTGTGTTAATTGACCACATCCTTTGGGGAGAAGCATAAAACCGAAATCCAATCATTTCAGAATAGAATTAATCCTGTGTTGTAAGAACTTCCAAAGAAGATTCCTCTACCTCTCTGTTGACCTTTTGAATGTTTAAATAGTCCCTAAAGCCCATATTTCACTACATCATCAATGCAGATAGGGGAAACATCTGGGGATGCAGGCATGGATAGATCCCTCTCTGTCTTCCTTTTGCTTTCCTGAAATCCTTGGTGCCTTTATACCAGATTCATTTATCCAGAGTCCCTTTAATCTGTAAGTTATTTTGTTTTTGCATTCTCTTCCTCGTATTTTCAGAATTCTAGAATCCATACATCCCTCCCTGCTCCTATTCCATCCTGCACATTTTTGCTGGCAGCATTCCTACGGTTGTGGCAGAGTGGACCATCCAGGGATTCAGTAGAACTGCCATTCTAAGATCACTTTCACCCTTTTTCTCTTCCCTGTCCCTGTTGGTTGGCTCTCTGAGGCCTGGATGAAATGGAGGAAAAAAAGCCCATCTATCTTATAAGAAGTATAAGTCACCTGGGTCACAAAGCTGCATGTTCTTCCATTTCTCCACTTATAAGCCACATGGCTTATAAGCTCTGTGCTTGGGACACATGCATCAGTTGTGTTCTGCAGCCCTATGCCACATGCCACCAGCTCTCAAACTGGCTGTCAATAATATAATATATATTAATATATTAATACTTATATCAATTAATTATTACTATATTAATTATTATATTAATATTAATTATATTAATTAATACATCAATATATTAATATATATTAAGAGATTCTGGTTTAATTACTCTGTGGTATGGGCCTGGGCATCAGATGGTTCTAATGTGCAGAAAGGTTTGAGACCCACTGCACTAGCCACAGGTCAGAAAACTTTCTCTATGAAGGGCCAGAGAGTAAACATTTTTGGCTTTTTCAGGCCACAGCTACTCAACTCTGTAGCATGAAAGCTGCCAAAGAGAAGTGAAGAGAAGTAGCTGGTTTCCTGTCAAACCTTAGTTACCAAAAAAGGGAGCAATCGAGTTTGTCCCAGGGGCCATACCTTGCTGACCTCTGGTCTACACTGCCTTTACTAGAGACAGTAATAGGGTTTTTTTGTTGTTGTTGTTTTTACATATTTGAATGTTCAGCCAAAATAAGCTCATAATATGATTTCATTCTGCCACATTCGGATATAATGCACGTTTAGGTGGCAGGGTTTTGAAAGTGAGGCCACAAAGCTCCTCAGGGTCTCTCCATTCAAATGCCAAAGGAACCACGACCAAATATTCAGCAAAAAGGACACTCTTTTGGCCTCCTTATCCAGCAGCAGTGGTAGAGAAAACACAGAAACAACAGCAGCAAAGAAAGAAGAGGTTGAATTTTCCATAAATTTATCTTCAAACATTCTTACCCCGAAAGAAATGTATGCACCTAACACACTTCCAGCAATGGTAGAGAACCCAGCGGTCATGATTGCATGGAGTTCAGACTTGGTGATGTGTGGTAAGTAGGGTCGGACCAGCAGTGGAGACTCCGTCTGGAACAAAGTGAGACCAGGTTAAACGTCCCCTTTTAAATCTTAGGAAGGTGTTCCAATCTACTCAAGATTCCATTTTCTAAAGCAGTATTTCTAAGAGTGAACCACAGACCAGCTCCATCAACATCACCTGGGAACTTGTCAGACATGCACATTCTCAGACTCAATCGCTTCAGCAACGCTGAGAATGGGACGAGCAATCGTGTGTGAACAAGCCTTCCAGGTGGTTCTGAGGCATGCTCATTTGAGAACCCATACCATCGATGTCTGGGTCGTTGAACTCTGTCAGTGTGCATATAGAGTTATGTGTGAGGTTTGCAAAGTTTGCAAGGCCAATTCATATACGGCCCCCACCAACCTAGGATTGGAGTCTGCTGGCCAGGTATATTTTTCTAAGGTTGGAACACTATTGCCCAAGTAACTGTGCCCTGCTCTTCTGAACTGGTGATTTCCAAGTCACTGTGATCTCCCATCTTCCAGCTTCATTATGACAGACCATAAACCTCTTTGCTTAAACCACAGGGAAGTAGAGACACAAGTATAAAAAAAATACGAGCAATAGCAAGGGCAGGTGCCCACAGGCGCTTTCCTAGTTGAAATTCAGAGGCCCCACTCTTCCCCATGGGTGGAAAGGAATTAGAGAGGGTGTAGTCGTAAAGGCTTGAATCCCATTAAGGAGGACAGACAGCCCACAATGTAGGGCTCTCCAGAAATAATAGCTGTACTTTTAGCATATTAAGTATAACATTGAGCACCACAGAAGCATGTGTGCAATTTTACAATTTTCCCCTCATTATTTGTAATTGTTCTGTAAGATTGAATGTATTGAGCTTCACTTCATGGACTAAATAGAAACTCAGTACATGAGTCCTCTGACCCCGCAGGTAGGAGTAATCAAGTCAAGATGGTGTTCTAATTAGTCCTGAGAGATTTTATGATTATAATTATAATAATTTCAACTCCTAGGGAAGGAAGTCTGGGCCCTGCCCTAAAGACTATACTCCAGGCTAGCATGCTGGGCTTACCAATAAGGCTCAGCCTGCCTGGAACAATTCTAAGCCTCAGACTTGGAGCCATGTGCTTCTCTGGGTGACTTGCTTTTTGCTTCAAATCCAATTTCCTTGAGTAGCTGTGCTGGCAAGCATTCATACTTTGGTTCCTGGGTGTGTGATTCCATTTTTCCCAAAGCCACATACCCTGAGCATTGAGGATGATTACCATATCTTACTTATTCTCCCCATAGGAATGCTGCTGTTTTGAAGGACACCCCCTAGCAGCATACTTCCTTGCTTAAATGGGCTTCAGGCAAAACACTTACCCATGTGATGGATCAGAAGGATGAGAATGCTTTTGCTCATCAGCATTTTTCTTCAGGCCCAGCCAAGACAGACTGTTGGCCAGTTCAGACAAGTTGAGAATAATCTCAAGTATTTATACGGCTGCAGGGTTATTGGTGAAAAGTCTTTCTTGGTCTCTTTCATTACCACAAGCATTATACCACAGAATGTGAGGCTCCCTGTTACATGTTTGCAGCTTCAGAATAAGTGGTGAACTCCACAGGAGTGGGTGACCTGTTAGCCTCTGAAGGGTGGATCAGAGACCTCAACAATTCAATTAATTCAGAAAAGATTGGTTGAGAACGGGAGGAGCCCAGTGCTTTGCTAATTCGATAAAATGATTTTCCGTCTTTCTTCTCCATACACTTTCAAGAACCCAAATTTTACACTAGTGCACTGGGACACTTGGAAGGGATCATTCTCGTACACTCTTTTTTCTCGCTGGAATCTGGACATTGTCAATGCTGAGGGCTCCTTATTTTGACACCCTTCTGCTGACACATAAAAAAAAATAACACCAGTATATTTATAATATTATATTTCTTACTCTAATTTCTGGTAAGAGTATCCATTTCAACAGGTGTTTTGTTTTGTTTTGAGATTACAACTTACCTGTCCAACAAATATATTGCCAGCAGCAACTACAGATTCAATAGGAGATGATCCCATAGTAACTAGCATTACCCATCCAACCTGAAAAGAGATAAGGGACAAAGTCAGTGAAGAGTTGTTTGTATACACAAAACTTCAAAGTAGGGATGAAAATCTTTGGAGGAAAATGCCTTCAACAATTGTTGGCAGGCCAATGATGGTGCTAAGTGTGAGTATATCTTATCTAGAGTTTACAGAGTAGGCCCATCAAATCCTCCTATTTGAGTGGTAAGGCTGAGTCATTGTATTTGCCTTGAATTTATACATTCACTATAGAAACAAATCTGTACTGAAACACTGTATGAGAATAATAAATTCTAATAATTGCTTACATTCTTGACAGGCTTTACTGCATTCCAAGCACTGTTTTAAGCTCTTGATCCATGTAATGCATTTAATTATTATAATACCCCTTTGACGGAGGTCCTATAATTATGGCCATTTTATAGAAAAGGAATCTGAGGCATAGAACAGTTTAGTTGTTTTGTCTAAGATCACCCAGTTAATAAGTAGTGGGATGAGGTTTGGCCCTTTCTATTTAACTCTCAAATGAACATGGTTTATGGTCCCTGCTTCTCTACTGGCCCTTCCAACTAGAGACTGTGGTGCCCACCTCAGGATGGAAACTTCCTGTTTTATTCTCTCCTTCCTTTCTGCTTAGACATGAGCACAATAATGCTGCGTGTTCAGGTCAGCAATCAGAAAATCACGGGTCCTGGCACACTCTTGCTGACATTCTGGATTCTGCTGGTGTTCTGTTGCTTTCTCTCTCTCTCTCTCTCTCTCTCTCTCTCTCTCTCTCCCTTCTTACCTCCCTCTCTTTTATTTATTTACAAGGATCAAAGGGGGGCAATGGCTGTGCCCAAACTCTGTATGCACTGCCCCATTTGTGTGTGTGCATTTGAACTAACTTGCAAATTTCCTCATGTTGCAATTTAACACAAGTGTAGAACTGACGCTGGGGTGGCAGAAATGAGATGAAATTTTCAGACCTTGTGTGTGTGTGTGTGTGCTTATAAAACTTCCTCAGAAACAAAAAGTAGCTTCTCTCTTCTTGCTTTGATCCTGTAGCCACTCCTAGACCAGGAGTCTCCACTTTTGCAACGTCCTGAGGATAAGTAGGGATTCTGTGTAAGGCACAGGGTAGACAGCCAGGACGAAGGAAGGATGCTGTTCTCTCCACAGGTGTCAGCTCTGCTGGAGTCAATTATTTGGCTAAAGAAGTAATTACTGAGGTTTTATGAAGATAGCCGGTAACCACTGGCTGCAAGTCAAAGCCCCATTAGAAATCCCCAAGATAAAATTCCCTCAGTGGCTACATGTAAGATTTTTTGGTTTGGGTCTAATACCTTGGGGTGGAGGGGTGGTGGTGGTGGATCTTGGCACAAACAGAAAGGCACTTTGGAAAATCCTGGATAAAAGGCATCTAAGACTTTGTCCCTGAAAGAAGCAGCCAGTCCCTTCAAGACCCAGTACCTTTCTAATGATCCACTGCATCAACCCGAGGTAGTAGAGCATGGACATGACCGTGCTGAAGAAAACCACGATTGGCAGGACCTGGGGGTGAGATGGGGGTTTGAGAGCAATCCAGGGTTGATGTTGCCTCAGTTGTGTTAGTTAAGTTTCAGATCAGGTCTCTTTTCTGCCTCCCTCTCCCCAACCCTACCCCACCTGGAAACATCATAAAACTACTAGAAACTCCTCTTGAACTTTTGACTAAATGAACTAAATGACACTTGAATGAACTAAATGACACATTTAGTTCACTCCTCTTGAACTAAATGACACTTTTCTCAGGCAGCTTCCCCATCTACAATCTTTTATTTGAATTTGCTCTGCATCAGCTTGAGGATATTTTATAGGAAGCATGACTTGTTTGTTTGTTTGTTTGTTTCTTGGCAATGATAAGCTGCTGTTACTTCAGTTTCTCAGAGAAGGAATGAAGTTCGATGAGGGGGTAGTTTGTAATAACTAGATCCACACACTGAGGGCCACTGGCAGATATTCTTGAAGTTCTGATATTAAATAGCCTCATTAGCAGAGAATCCTGGTTGAAACAGAGTGTGAGCAGCCTCAGATCTTTATTTGTAGAAGTTGCACAGACCAGATACAGCATGGTGGGTGCTTACCCAAACTGCCTCCCGTAGGGTAAGCATTCATTCACTTAGCTCTGAAGAGAATAATTATTGTACTCATGGAGTTTTTGAACCGCTAAAAAATAAACTTTGGAAATAGTTTATTGCGTGACATCACAAGCGTCTTTTTCTGAACCCTATTTCCCTGAAGCTCTTTGGGTGCCTTCAAGATAGCCTGTTTCTACAGTGAGCCGTTTCCACCCTGCAGAGAACACACAGAGCTGTGGGCTGGGTCCCCCCACACTCCTACCCCTCTGTAACCCTTCTCCTCTGTTCCCCAGCTAAATGGCCAGGACATACTGCCACCAGAGGCACAGAATGACTGAGGACAATTTGTACAGGATCTGATCTAGAAAAATTTATTAATAATATATATCAAAAGACATTTTGTGCCATTATGCAGAGCTCAGTCACTTCTGTGCTTTTATTGGCTTTAATGGGCAAGCAGTGCCTTCCTGAAAGCTTCAGGGAATTCAAGGAGCTTATCTCTTGAATGTTCCCACAGGGATTCTGCTTTGGGCCACCTCTCTGGGGGAGAGGGAGGTGGTGGGTGCGTGGGTGGGTAGGTAAAGTCTAAAGACACTGGTGTAGTCTGGGCATCAAGGTATGCCTTCCTTGTGACTTTCTTTTTCCAATTCTGGGTTCAATTCATGATATGAGCATATTTCTGTCTCAGTTTGTAAACACTTGGCCTTTGGGAGATGGCTTTGTCATCTTAGCAACCAAAGTGTCAAATCAGCATTTAAAAAAAACAAAACTCAGCAATTAAAAAAAAGATTCAGCATAAAAGTTGGCCTAACTGAAGATGGGGTAGTTTGGAGGTAAACTTAGAGACCCTAAGTGATAAAACAATTTAGATGTGTAGGAACAATAACACCACAACAAAGAATGCTGAAGGCAAAGCCAAATTTATCTTTCTGACTCATCAACAAGTATTTGTAGGGGCTTCGCTGGGGACAGTGAGCTTCCTGGGGCTTGTGGGAGCACTGGCAGGCCAGGTTGCCTTTCCCTTGGAGAATAATGTCCCTCCTTTGGTTGGGAGAAGGCCCAGCCTCCAGGCTTGCAGTACTGAAGGAAAGACACAAAAGGTTTAGCACGGAGATGGCTCTGGAAGAACAGAGGTTGATACGAGTGAGCAACTGTCTCTTTTTGGGAAACGGGGTTCCGGAGCACAAGGCTGTCTCTGATCCCTGGCCTGGAAGCTATCAGTGGCCATATGCCTGTTCATTGCCAGGTACCAAATGTTCTTTTCCCTGATGCTTCAGATGCTGTTACCCCATATGATTTCTCAAAAGTATCTCAGGCAATGCTATGAGCCCCCTCAAAAGTTTTTGTATATTTCTAGATGTTTCCCTCAGTGCTATAGTAACAAAGTAAAATGTTTACAATCCACTGACTTCAGATAAAATCAGATAAATCGAAAAAGGTGGTGATGTGCTATCCATGTAGCACATGCCCAGCAGGTATATATCTGGTTTCGGGTCAGATTCTATTGGAACATCTACAAAGATTGAGAAGCTACTGACAAGGAAGTAATACTTAGAAAAGGGGTTTAGCTTTACCTTAAATGCAAAGAAGTGGTCTGCATATGTCTCACCAAAGACAAATTCAGCCCCAGCGTTAGTATACTCCAAGAAGGTCTGAGTTAAAGAAAGGAAAAGGGCACATGATCATTACAACCATGGAACTGGTGGTTACAGTCCACAGGACCTCCCAGGCTCTGCAGAAGGGGAGCCCAGCAAACTTGCTGGATAGAGGTGGAAAGTAAATTTTTACAACCTTTCTCCCCCTCCAGTAGATGGCATGGAAGTGTATTTTTTTTTTTTAATGTTTAAAAAATAAAATAAAGTAAAAGGGGCGCCTGGATGGCTCAGTCGGTTAAGCATCCGACTTTGGCTCCGGTCATGATCTTGCGGTTCATGGGTTCGAGCCCCACATTGGGCTCTGTGCTGACAGCGCAGAGCCTACAGCCTGCTTTGGATTCTGTCTCCCTCTCTCTCTGCCCCTCCCCTGCTCACGGTCTGTCTCTTTCTGTCTCAAAAATAAATAAACATTAAAAAAATTAAAAAAATAAAATGTTTATATATTTGTTTTTGAGAGAGAGAGAGAGAGAGAGAGAGAGAGCGAGCCAGCCAGCAGGGTGGGGGGCAGAGAGAGAGAGGGAGACAGAATCCCAAGTAGGCTCTTTGTTGTTGAGATAGAGCCTGACGCGGGGCTCAAACTCATGAACTGTGAGATCATGACCTGAGCTGAAACCTAGAGTCGGATGCTTACGTGACTGAGCCACCCAGGTGTCCTAGGAAGTGTATTTTTGAACTATACCTGCATACAGATTTCCTGTCACTTGTGACATTTAATCTGACTCCAGGATACTCAAAGGAACCAGGTGTGGCAATTTGTTCCAGCAAGTCATAGATGGGACATAGGTGGCACTAGCTATCACTCCGTGCAAAGAAAGCTTGTTTCTCTATTTGTGGAACTATCTTAGAAGTGTGACACCCCTGGGCCAGGATGAAGGGGCAAGCAGGATGGGGAGTGATGTAGTGGATGATTGGGCGAGGGACAACTGTAATATTAATAAACTAGACAGATTAACATATTCTACACAAAAATGTGGGTCAACTAATGCAGACAAATAAACCTATTTCTGACATGTCTTGAGGATTATATCCAAATGTTAAAAAAGAATTTACAAGCAAGGTGTTCATTTAAACCCAACTTACTTGAACTTGTTTACCCAACCAATCGAAAGCCATAAATCCAGGTTCAGTCCTTAGGATTAAGAGCCCAAGAAGAAACTGTAACCCAATTCCCCAAAAGACAGGCCTCCAGTAAACCTATGCAGAAAGATGAAGAGATAGGTGTCACTAGAAAATGAATGGCTAAGCTCAGCATAAACACCCAGAGGATTACTATTTCCTCGGAAGCTTCTCACACATGGCCTGTGATCCATCTTTGAGAGGCCAAAGCACTTGTGAGCAGAGAATCACGGCCCCAGATCTTGGTGCTGCATTCCATCATCCCAATCCTGAGTTCGAAGACTTCAGTCTCCGGAAGGTATGCAATTATCATTATATCACGACAAAATGACTTAGACACAAAGAGTAGTCTTAGAAGGACAATCAAAGGAGGAAGGAAGGATCTGGCCCTCTTAGTTGTGCTATAAATGTGAGAGACATATAATTATTTCCCCTGTCTGGAAAATGGAAAGGCAGAGCATGACTTCTTTGTGTGCCCAAGGTTTGTTCATCTGACAATTTGTAAGTGAATTAAGTGAAATTCCTCCCTGTTGAGGGGCTCTCATTTCACTGTAAAAGGAACCAATTAACTCTAATGCAGACCCAGGGAGTACAGCAGTAATGGACAATCATCTGCCTTCATTTTTGGTGCAGAGACGAGTGGGCTGCCGAGAACTGAGGAACTGGAGGCAGACCAATCAGCAGCGATGCTGACCCTAGCAGGGCAAGGACTTTGGATCTTATTACGTGACCTTCTTCTTGGGCCAACCTTTCAGCCAGTAAAGTCTTCCGGAGTTTTCCATTCTGAGTCATGTGTGAAAGCCTGGATGTCTCCAAATTCTTGCCCATTTAACGGGTTACAGGCTGTCAGAATGAGGATAGCGATTGAATTCAGTGGGAACAAATCTGGTCTGTTTAAGGACAGATTTTTGCAGTAAAATGACCTAAATTGCAAGTGGAAATATGATAAACTACAGAATCCAATGGTAGAATATTAGATTATTTACTGGTCCGGGGAGATCGGGATCAAAACAGATGAATTTTCTTAGCATGTTTGATGGAGGGAGGTGGAGGACATGAGTAGAAATTAGACTTGACAGGAGAGAACCCCTCACTGGTGATGTAACTGGAAAATCACTGAGAATGATAAATGAGAGAGTACTAGTACTAAGCAAGTTCGGGAAGGAAGGTGCCCTAGCCACTTAAAAGAGCATAACAAGGTAAGACTAATATTGAGTAACAGTGAAATTCTCTCACACTCATTATTTTGAGCAATTTAGACATGAGGGAAAAAAAGAGGGAAAAAGCTGAAAAAGATTGATTTCATACTTACTTTGGTTGGGTGCTTGGAAAATATAAATACCAGGATAATGTACATTATGAGCCCACCAAAGGACACCAGCTGCTGTTGGCCCAGTTTGGCGGTGTCCAAGATGAGCCAGAATATAACACCCAGAATCAGTAAGCTCCAAATCACCCTAAGAAAATTGGAAAGGGGGCATCAGCATCGTTTGCGCTGCTAACTTGAAAATCTTAAAATCAGACTTAAACTAATAAACAAAAAAGTTATTAAGAGTAACACCCTGGCACCAGGAAATTATGCTTCTAGACATGGCACAAACCCTCTTTGGTTGTGGCTATCAAGGCAGATAGCCAAAAATTAAGCACCGGATTAAGCACATTCCAAAACTTTTGGGCTCTTCATTCGTTCAGGATCATAAAAAGGGGCCAGAGATGAGAAAGGGTGTTTAGAGAGGGAAGTCTAGTGGTTTCTTTGGGAGATCTTCTGTGAGTTCTCATGTCCATTTTGGGAGATGGGAGAGATGTAACCTTCTGCCCTTTAAGGGAGAACTTGAAATGTGCTCTCTGAAGTTGGAGGACTCCAGCTGAGCCTCACAGAGTAAGTTAGACTTCAGGAAGTGTTATGACTCCTTGGCGGATCTAGTGGGCGTGACAAGTTTGACTCACAGCTTGGATGGCAGAGCCAGAAAGTGTGCTGTGTTGGGATTGAACAATCCTACGTTGTTAGGTCAAGGATATGTGAACTTTCCAGGTACATCCCTTGAGTGCCATTCTGGGGAGAACCTGTCTTGTGTCTAATCCACTAGGGTCACCTGGAGGAAGAGGAGGTCCCACAGAAAAAGGCTGAAAGAAAAGCTCTGAGCAGTCACTCATCGGATGTGGATATGGGGTCTTATAGGAAAGAGTCAACTTTTATATTCACAGGGTCTTACTTTCAAAGAGGCCAGCTCAGGCCCAGATCAGAAAGCCACCTCCCCAAGTAAGAACTGTCCTTTCTTTTGGACAATATTTTATCATTTAGTGGCACTTGGAATTAAAGCAGTTTGCAGGGACATTTGAACATATCTTGAACGAGTCATTGCCCTATCTAGGCTTTGATTTCCTGTTTGTAAAATGAAGGTATTATAGCAGATTATTCCCCAGGTTATTTCTAGTTTCAATAGCCTATAAATCAGGGACCAATTTCAGAACACGTTTTTGGAAACAGTGTTGGAAAAGACTAACATTTCTCTCAAATGCAACAAGGGAACGGAGTGAGTTTACCACTTCATCCAGAACCAATGGCTGTTTAGGAGCCTTTTGCCAGGAGATAGACACTCATTGATTCGTTGCTCATATTTGGCCATAAAGTAATCCCAGACAACAAAGAAGATGACAGCCACGGTGATCACGAAAAGGGGAAGGGCTCTATGAAAGTTCAGCGCACAAGCTGCAATCACCATTGCCAGGTAACCTGTCGAGAAAGCAAGCACAGACAGGGGGCATCACCAATACCAGGTGCAGACCAGCCTCTAGCACTGATGGGGCTCAGCCAAGGAGAGGTTCAATCAAGAAACCATTGAATGCAGGATTGCTCTTGATAGGGCTATTGACTCATGTAATTATCTGTACTATATATTTTTAGAATTTTGTTTTTTTCACAGTAATTCCCTAACAGTCTCACCATGAATGCAGGAAGGACAGAGTGCTAGGTCTGTTTTCTCATAGAACCTCAAGTTCTTGAATCTTGATGCTTGATTGTTGGGTCTCTCAGTACTAACTCCTATTTTTGGGTATTCAGACTCAGCAGGGGAGTTTCTATCAGAGAAAGGCTAGGTGTTGAAGCAACCACTGGCAAAAAGGTATTGATTCTCCTGGTTTGCAGCTCAGATTTGGCCTACGCTTCAGTGGGAAAATAGGCCTTCCAACCATCTCTGAGTTCCAAAGAATCTCTAAAGAAAGGGGTGAGGGATAATTACCAAGGTGGCTGCTTTTGAAGAGGAGATTCTAGGATAAGAACAGGGTGTCCCAGAAAGGTCAGCCAACATGGTCTGCAGGTTAAATCGGGCCTACCACTTATCTTTGTAGGTTCCAAGTACAGTTGTGTTTGTATACTTGTGTCTGAATCTACAAATAAAATTGCATGGAAACACCATCACGCCTGTCTGTTTACTTTTGTTTTAGAAGGACAGAGTTGTGTGGCTTTCACCGCATGGCCTGAAAAGCCTAAAATACTACCTGGCCCAGTGTAGAGGAAGCTTTAAACCCTGCTTTTCCTTGTTTCAGATATCTGAGCACCAACAAAGCCACTGGCCTTGGAGGTGCAAGAGTCTTGGGTTAACGTCTACGGACTTGGGTGCAACGGTTCACATTTTATAGACAGGGGTGTTATTCAAAATGGGCTGCAGAACTCTTTGCTTTGGAGGGAGTAAAAATAGGGGACCTGCTCATCTATGAAGATAGTGTGGTCTTGCTTTCAGGCAGGAGGGGTGACCTGCATGACCCTAGGCTCCTGCTCACATTGCATTTGCATGAAGTATTAATTGCTTATATCGTCCCCTGTGATTAGGTCCCCATCTTGTGTTTATCACCATGTTTTCTAGTTTTCTGTTTTCTGGATTTGCATGAACTAGCCCTTAAATCCATATCACAACAACCAAGGCTGTAAGAGTAGGGAACCTAATTAGATGCTAGCTACATAAACCAAACAGGGAAACAATCTGCATAGGCAACCACAGTTGAGACCCACCACTCAGGAGCTTCTGGATTAACTTCTCTGGATTCACCAAGGTCCAGGGGGAACAGAAAGATTTATTTTTTTTCTATAGAAAGCTACTATTTGGAATATTCTCAAACAAAGACACTGGCATCCACCCCCCTTTTGTTATTTACCTACTATTAAGATGCCCCAGAGGATGTACTGAAGGGTGGTTTTGTGTTTCTTATAAAAATCACAAACTGTATCATACTTCCTTTCCAGATACCTGTAACAACACAAGAGCAAAAAGGCAGGCAGAAGGTAACATCAAAAACATGAAATAAACTGACATACTAAGCTAGATGAGGCTTTGTAAATCAAGCAAGCAAACGAACAGATGGATGAAGTGGATGTCCTACAAAATAGAAATGGGATACTCATATCCTTTTAGACTATAATCAGCCATAGCTTGGATCAGTGTTTGCTGCGTGGATGTGCCAAGCCCTGAGGGCTTACAGAGATGCAGAAAACATGCTTCTGAAAACAGAGCGGGGGAGATGGATAACTAACCAAAAGCTGGAAATAAATGGTAGGAGAAGACTGTTTCTCACGGGACTATGTGGGCCTCTGATAGCTTTTAAGCTTCGGATATGAAACGTTGATTTAAGGAATTGTCATCCCTTTTGGCCTCACAAAGTTTGAGTAAGTTGGTGGTTCCCTGTCCTGGCTCACCATGTTTTTTAGTGGGAGACTGACAGATTTCACTGGGTGCTTGAAATATAAAGGAGGATTTTGTGGATTTCAGAGCTATTAGCCAGTAAGTTGTAAGGTAGCTTTCTCAAAAGTTCTGGCATTGTTGGCACATCTTTGTTCCTGTCCAGAGCTTTGTTAGGGGGTGGTGGGTAGTGAGTGAGCAATATGGGGATCTGGGCACTTGTGCTGGGGGGATGGTGGCCATCAGCAAGTGACTTTGGAGGGGCCCAGGCCCATACCCACAATGACCATGCTCTGCTTCTCCCAGGGTTCTCCTGGTTCCCTCCATGCCTCCCCTGAGGTCTGGCTTCATACATTTGCCTCTTTTCTCACTGCCCCTTCTAACAGAGACCTCTTCTCCCAACGGAGGAAGGAATTTATTCACACAATCATTGCCACTTCTAGGTCACTTCTAGTCCTATGTAGGAGATTCCTCATCTCTGGGATTCCAAAGGACTCACTGGCTAATGCCTCCACTTGTCCATTTTGCAGCAGCTGTGCGTCCATGTCCAAGTCTCGGCCCCTGTGCAAGTTTCAGGGCACAGCCCAAGCCCCTTGCTCCTACAACACCTTCTTGCATCTCCTTGAACAGAGTCATTCCTCTGTGCTTTACTCCTACTGTCTCCTTTGATTTCATTTTGTGATAAAGGCTTGACTGGCTAACTTCCTGGAGAGCAGATGTGAGCCCAATGGCACTAGGACCTTGGACATTAGTGTGCTTGATGGGCATTTGTTGCATTACTAGATAAATGAAGTGGGAGTGTGTGTTGCTTATTTGGAATAGCATGCTACAGCTGTGGGTTAGGACCCATTAGTAGGTTGTGAAGGCACAGTGTGTGACACTCATCTTTATTTTATTTTATTTTTTATTAAAAAAATTTTTTTTAAACATTTATTTATTTTTGAGACAGAGAGAGACAGAGCATGAACAGGGTGGGAGGGAAGAGAGAGAGGGAGACACAGAATCTGAAACAGGCTCCAGGCTCTGAGCTGTCAGCACAGAGCCTGACGTGGGGCTCGAACTCACGGACCGTGTGATCATGACCTGAGCTGAAGTCGGCCGCTTAACCAACTGAGCCGCCCAGGTGCCCCTTATTTTATTTTTTAAATAGATGTACAGCTTTTATTATTTTTTAAAGTTTATTTATTTATTTTGAGAGAGAAAGCGAGGAGCAGGGGCAGAGAGGGGAGGGCGGAGGGAGAGCGAGAGCGAGAGCGAGCGAGAGAGAGAATACCAAGCAGGGATTCTCCACACTGACAGTGCAGAGCCCAACACAGGGCTTGAATCCATGAGCCATGAGATCATGACCTGAGCAGAGATCAAGAGTCAGATGCTTAACTGACTGAGCCACCCAGATGCCCTGACACCCATCTTTAATAAGAAAGAATAGGACTGATAAGAGCATATCACTCACAGTAATGATGTCTTATTTCATGAAAACTTTGGTGTTGTGTATGTGTGTGAATACATGTACTGAGAATTGGAAACACTGATCCAGAAGATATTGAGGGAATCAAAGTTCAGTAAAGACTAAATTTTCATCGTCTAATTTAGGAAATGTTGATGATGCATCATCTTCAGTTTCTGATAGTGTTTCAAAGTGGCAGCGGTGGAGGGCGACATTTCATTGGACACATTCATATACTTTGGGTTGGATTGATCAGATCCTTTAATTGCAGGGAATATGTGTGGTCCATGACAACTCACACTGCATAAAATAAGTAGCTAGAAATAGAGGCTTCGGCCATTTGGTTATCATGGCTAGGCAACTCCCAGCCTCTTGGTGATTGCTTCCATCCCATTAACAGTAGTGAAACCTGACCACCCAAGAGAATTACTCAGCCCCTGGAGTCAGAGGTCCGTAAAGCATAATGAAAGATGGAACAAAGCTCAGGTTTCTGAGGTAGTAAATATTTTTGATGATGTAAATGTGACAAGAGCTTTTAATCTTAATTCTGACCAACTCCAGAGATATCTTCTGATGCATAAAAATAAAGTTCCTCAGAGACATAGAAATTTAAACAAAATTTAAATAGGAATTTAGAAACTTGATAAATACTTGAGTGTTATGACAGAGTACCAGACAATCTTGGGCTAGGAATCAGAAGCTGACATTAAGTTATCTTTGTTCCTCTCTAGCTAACCTTGAGTAAGTCACTTTTCTGAGCTTCATTTTCCTGGTCAAAAAAATAAAAATAATTTGCCTCTCTTACCTCATGGGCAGTAAGAACTTGGAATACCTTCAGGATACTACGGTCAGAGCAAGTTTGTTGGGACTTAATGTGGATTGGGTTTTGAGAAATCAATTGCTTATTGATTGACACTGAGAAGATGAATTAACTACTTTTGCGTGGACTGGAGCAATTAGTTAGTAATTTATGCCTTTAATTAGAAGACTGTCCTGGATATTGGGTTCCCAGGACATTAGCAGTTTGAATTTACCATGGTGATTATCATAGAGATCCATTAATTTTTCTGGAAATGGTGTTGGGCAGGTAGTGGGGAAGGGAAATGGGTGTAGTGGTGGTAATATCCAATAAATAATAATAAATGTTTAAAATTAGATGAAGATAAAACAAAGTGGCAAAACCAAAAAGGAGGTCAGTATGGTTATTTCTCCGTTTAAACCTGTACCCTTTTTTTTTTTTTCAACCTTTATTTATTTTTGGGACAGAGAGAGACAGAGCATGAACGGGGGAGGGTCAGAGAGAGAGGGAGACACAGAATCGGAAACAGGCTCCAGGCTCTGAGCCATCAGCCCAGAGCCTGACGCAGGGCTCGAACTCACAGACCGCGAAATCGTGACCTGGCTGAAGTCGGACGCTTAACCGACTGCGCCACCCAGGCGCCCCAAACCTGTACCCTTTTTGATGTGCCTCTGGATCATCCTCCACATCTTCTTTGTTTCTTAAAGAATCCTGCTCAATGGTGACCTGCTCTTCGTCCTGGAAATCAAACATTGCAGCAGAGATGGAATAATGAGAATTCTGGGCATAATGAACCCTGATCTCTTTTTGCTTAGAATTTTGGCAAAGGACATTTTTTATGGACTGCATTTTATTTTATTTTTTTAATTTTTAAATATTTATTTATTTTAATATAATTTATTGTCAAATTGGCTAACATACAGTGTGTAAAGTGTGCTCTTGGTTTTGGGTAGATTCCCATGGTTCATCACTTCCATAACAACACCTAGTGTTCAACCCAACAAGTGCCCTTCTCAATGCCCATCACCCATTTTCCCCTATCCCCCACCCCCCCAGCCCTATCAACCCTCAGTCTGTTCTCTGTATTTAAGAGTCTCTTATGGTTTGCCTCCCTCCCTCTCTGTTTGTAACTATTTTTTTCCTTTCCCTTCCCCCATGGTCTTCTGTTCAATTTCTCAAGATCCACATGAGTGAAAACATATGATATCTGTCTTTCTCTGACTTATTTCACTCAGCATAATATCTTCCAGTTCCATTCACGTTGCTGCAAATGGCATGATTTCATTCTTTTTCATTGGCAAAGGACTTTCTAAAGGTCTTTTAAAATTATTATGCAAGAATATAGCTCCTATTATCTACTTGCGCATTTTTCCCTTTACACAAAACCTACAGGATCACACTTCTCTCTCCTTTTTCTTCCAAAGGAGCTGTTGGTAATTTCTTCTTTCCTTTAGGGAATAGGCTCATATCTATGCTTTTTGCTCCTTTCTCTACTGTAATCATTCAACCCCTGCTCTGTTCTCAGGCAAGTGCTAAATGAAGTTTATATCAGAGGCTGTATAAATCTCCTTTTAAACTCTGTCAACCCTGTTTCCCAAAGGACTGAGACCAAGGCTGGCTTTATTTTCCTGACAGCCCAAAGCTTGGCCTGCAAACGTGACCACTAGCCTAGTATCATCAAGAGCTGATTAACTTTCCCTTGGGAACTAGGGTCCTATCAGTTGGGCTAAAGGGAAGTATTTCCCTTTGTTAGCTAACCCTTGCTCTAATTAATGAAGTATATACCTGGGCTATCTTTCTAGATACTGTTTGAACTCAAAAAATTTTTTTTTCAATGTTTATTTATTTTTGAGAAACAGAGAGAGAGACAGAGTGCGAGTGGGGCAGGGGCAGAGAGAGAGAGAAAGAGAGGGAGACACAGAATCCAAAGCAGGCTCCAGGCTCCGAGTTGCCAGCACAGAGCCCGACATGGGGCTTGAACTCACGAGCTGCGAGATCATGACCAGAGCCAAAGTTGGACACTTAACCGACTGAACCACCCGGTGCCACCCCCGCCCCCCACTGTTTGAACTTTTAAATATCCATGACCCGTCCTGTTCTCAGGATAGCATAGAGGATTTCCTGCCTTCCACCACTTTGCAATAATATCTCAAATAGGTCCAGCTACCGTAAGCAATGGTGAGGGAAAGTGGCAAAGAAGTATGCAAATGCAGAGTGGTTTGAATGTGCTGTAAGACAGATAAAGTCATATCTCAGCTTTTATTTTCTGTCATAGCCCAGGTGGCCATTGATTGATCTGGACTGTAAGAGAATTCCTCGAAATAAGTCACAAGCATATCTCTGAGCTGAAAGGATTCTCAAAGATCATAGAGTCCTTTGCTGCCAAACTCCATTATACTTTACATTTAGACTAACTTCATTTTCTGGTGAAGGATAACAGAAGGAGAGACCAGTGGGGTCCAAGCTGCAGCTGCTGAGGATAGGGGTAGAGATAAGCCTTATTCATTTCATTCTCATCTAACACCTAGCTTAGCCAGTAAAGTTTGACAATTATTTGACTTAATTAATCATGATTATTATTTTCTTACAGTGAAACTGTCTCAAGTTACCTACTATCAATGGAATGCCTGGCATTAACTATTCTCTTTTATTCCCACACCCATTCCCATCTTTGTTTGTTTAATTAATGTTTACCTATCAGATTGGTAAAGATTTTTTCTTTTTCAAAAAATCGTAATTCCAGGGGCGCCTGGGTGGCGCAGTCGGTTAAGCGTCCGACTTCAGCCAGGTCACGATCTCGCGGTCCGTGGGTTCGAGCCCCGCGTCGGGCTCTGGGCTGATGGCTCAGAGCCTGGAGCCTGTTTCCGATTCTGTGTCTCCCTCTCTCTCTGCCCCTCCCCCATTCATGCTCTGTCTCTCTCTGTCCCAAAAATAAATAAACGTTGAAAAAAAAATTAAAAAAAAATCGTAATTCCAGTATAAACACACAGTGTTATATTAATTTCAGGTGTATAATATAGTGAGTCAACAATTCCAGTGCTCATCATGATAAGTGTAGTCTTAATTCCCTTCACCTATTTCACCCATGCCTCACCCACCTCCCCTCTGGTAACTACCAGTTCTCTATAGTTAAGAGCATGTTTTTTGGCTTGTCTCTTTTTTTCTTTGTTCATTTCTTTTGCTTGCTAAATTTCACATATGAGTGAAATCATATGGTATTTGTCTTTCTCTGGCTGACTTATTTCAGTTGGCATTATACTCTCTAGATCCATCCATGTTGCTGCGAATGACAAGATTTCATTCTTTTTATGGCTGAGTAATATTCCATTATCTATCTATGTATCTGTGTATCTATCTATCTCACCTCTTCTTCAACCATTCTTCTATCAGTGTACACGTGGGCTGCTTCCATAGTTTGGCTTTGTAAATAATGCTGCAATAAACATAGAGGTGTATGTATCCCTTTGATTTAGCGTTTTCATATTCTTTGGGCAAATACCCAGTAGTGTAATTACTGGATCATATGGTAATTCTATTTTTAAGTGTTTGAGGAAGCTCCATACTGTTTTCCAGAGTGGCTGCACCAGTTTCCATTCCTACCAACAGTGCATGAGGGTTCCTTTTTCTCCACATCCTCACCAACACTTGTTGTTTTTTGTGTTTTTAATTTTAGCCATTCTGACAGGTGTGAGGTGATATCTCATTGTGGTTTTATTTGCGTTTCCCTGATGGTGAGTGATGTTGAGTGTCTTTTCATATGTTCATTGGCCATCTGTGTCTTTAGAGAAATGTCTGTTCATGTCTTCTGCCCATTTTTTAGTTTTTTTTTTTTTGTGGGATTTGTGTGTATGTGTGTTTGTGTGTGTTAAAAATATGGGAGCTTCATGAATTTGCATGTCATCCTTGTGCAGGGGCCTGCCGGTCTTCTTCCTGTCATTCCAATTTTATATGTGTGCTGCCACAGTGAGCACCCATCCTCATCTTTAAAACAAACCGAAAACAACAACAACAAAATCTCCTTGACCCCATAGTCATAGGACATCTACCCTCCCTCCTTCTCTTCACAGCCAAACTGCTGGAGAGAGTTGCCTTTACTTTTAGTGACCCTCACATCCTACTCAGTCCATTGTGATCAGGCTTCTATTGAGATGGCCTCTGCCAAGATCACCCAAGGACCATTGGTGACCAACGTGGTGGATCTTCCTCAGTCTTTATGTTCTTGTGTATAACAGTAAATTATCTAATTTTTTGTTTTTGATTGTTTTGTGAAACAATAAAAAAAGACTTCATTTTTTTAAGGAGCAGTTTCAGGTTCACAGCAAAATTGAATGATAAGGAGAAGTTCCCCATACACCTGTGCCCCCACTCATGCATAGCCTCCCCCATGATCACCGCCTCTTGTTGCAATTGATGAACCTACAGTGACACATTATCACCCAAAATGTATAGTTTACATTAGGGATCCCTCTTGGTGTTGTCCATCTTATGGGTTTGGACAAATGCATAATGACATGTATCCACCATAATAGTATCACATAGAGTAGTTTCACTGCCCCCCAAATCCTCTGTGCTTTGCCCATGTATCCCACCCTCTCCTCTTGGTAAACACTGGTCTTTTTACTGTCTCCACAGTCTTCCCTTTTCCTTTGTCATATATTTGGAATCATACAGTATGTAGTCATTTCAGACTGCCTCTTTTAATGAGTAATACATATTTAATGTTCCTCCATGTCTTTTCATGGCTTGGGGGTTCATCATATCTTTTTAGTGCTGAAGAATATTCCATTGTCTGGATGAACCACAGTTCATTTATCTATTCACCTGCTGAAGAACATCTTGACTGCTTCCAAGTTTTGGCAATTGTGAACAATGTTACTATAAACTTCTATGTGCAGGTTTTATATGGACAGAAGTATTGTTTTCTCTTGTTTTGTTGCATAAATAGGGAAATGGACACTTTTTTATAATATATTAAGTAAAATAGACAGTAAGAATATGGATAGCATGATCCCAATATAAGTGACATGTGCATGGCAGTGTATATTTGCACTAAAGGGCCACGTTTTAAGATGTTAGGCACTGATTTTTTCCTGGAATTATACAGGTCATGTTTTCTGTCTTCCAAATTTTGCTGCAATAATTTCCCACATAATCTACTTTAAACAAGTTATTCTTTTTATCTCTGAGAATAACTCCCTCCAATAGATGGCTTGATATTAGGCACCCAGAATTACCCAAAAAAGGATGATCTACATGAATAATCTGCTTGATTTTTAGCAACAGAAGCCTTTCTCCAAATGAGAGCCTACCCAGAATTCAATATATAAAAGAAATAAAAGTAGCCTTGCGACAGAGTGCCTCAGCCTGCTGTAAGCTTAGGCATCACTGAGGAACTCGAGAGGCATGATGGATAGTGTTAGAACCACATCTTAGAACCTTCTTCATCTGCCTCACTTACTTTAAAATCGAGATGCTTTGGTTTAAGCCAGTGCTTTTTGCTTTGCGATGGAGTTTGGCATCTGTAATAGTGATGTGTCCGAGAAAGCCTATGTACTCTTGCCAGCAGAAAACTCTGGGGACAGGTGTACAAACACAAAATCTCTTTGTTTGAGCACGTGTGTTTTCTTCACGACTCTGCCTTACACATTCTAATTACCAGTTAATTCATTCCTCCGAGTGCCAGCTGAGCACATGCATTCTGTCCCCACAGCTGTCCGTCCCTGTTGCACAGCAGTTACTATGGTAATAGATTCACTCAACCATCGCCGCCCTACCTGCTGGGTGTTTTGCACAGCTCTACACCTTAGTGAGTTGTTGTTTCCTGATGTGTTCTGTTTTTCATCGAAGTCATCTTCATTCTAAGGAAAAAGTACAGATTGCAAAAATACAATTTCAGAATCAAGAAACTCAAATGTTCTTTTTATAAAATGGTACCAAAAGAATTTTGAGGAATGGGACAGCAAAGAGGAGGTGTTTAGATGAGTCAGCTGAAAAAAGAAAGGACCAGTGGATCTCAGGCTTATAAAGAAACAGATGATCTCTGTTCTGTTCTGATGGAAGGAATGATGTGCTTCAGCTTGAGGAAGAGAGAAAGGAGGACCAGGTGCCTCCATCTAAGTCATGTAACTTTATAATAAGCAGAGAAGAGGCTAGGGGGCTTCACATACCACAGGTTTCCAACTTATAAAATAAAGAAAAATGTAGGCCATGTAGTTTTCTTCTTAGATGTTAGATTTTTGAAATGCTAAAATGTGTTTTGTTTAGCTTAAAGGAATCTCTCCTAGTAATGAGAATCAGAAAATGCCTTCTTTTGTCAAGCTGTCTTGATTTTACATTTTGGATGGGAGTCAGCTGTTCTCTTGGAGGAGTGTCCTTACCCCTGAGCTGCTGTTTTGACATGTGACTGACACCCCCTGGCTCATTGCTCTTTTACCTGTTTTGAGGGGGTCCAATCTTTCTCCCATCTCATCCCAACTTGCCTTCATAAGGTAATTCATTCCACGTAAGGCAACAAGGTAGATAAACCGTGTCAGGTAGGTCCCCATAGCTTTTCAGGAAATGTATCCTGCTTGGCCTGTCGGCTGTGACCTTGTCTTTGAAAGAAGAACAAGTGTATGACTTTGATATTAACTTTAGATCTGTCTGGCCCCAAGGATCTATAAAAATTACAATTCCAACTCGTGTTGCATTTTCCACCTATTAAAATACAAGAGTGTATAAAATGTGGATAAAATCTAACTTGCAGCGTACATGTGATTTATGCATAAAAGCCTGGTTGAGGGGCGCCTGGGTGGCGCAGTCGGTTAAGCGTCCGACTTCAGCCAGGTCACGATCTCGCGGTCCGTGAGTTCGAGCCCCGCGTCAGGCTCTGGGCGGATGGCTTGGAGCCTGGAGCCTGTTTCCGATTCTGTGTCTCCCTCTCTCTCTGCCCCTCCCCCGTTCATGCTCTGTCTCTCTCTGTCCCAAAAATAAATAAAAAACGTTGAAAAAAAAAAAAAGCCTGGTTGCCACAGTGCCTTTTTGTGTCACAGCTGCATATCTTACTTTAGCACAGTGCCTCCCACACATCATTAGTTGCTGTTGCTAATGATTAGTTGTTGAATGAATGAACCACAGAAATTTTGATGTTGCATTAACTGGTATGGCATAATACATCTGAGTATTTGGTAAAAAATATAGTAGGGGGCTCTGGGTATGGTATGGAAAGATGACAAAGCTTGCTGATTGGGGTGGGCTGGTGGGCAGTCAGGGACTCATTTTACTATTCTCACTTTCATGGATGCTGAAAATTTTAAAATAAAAATGAATACATAAATAAAGCTGAAAAGTTACAAGTATAGCAAAACCTTGGTTTGTGAGCATAATTCTTTCTGGAAACATGCTTGTAATCCAAAGCAGTTGTATATCAAAGCAAATTTCAAGAACCATTGGCTCAGTTGTGATCATGTGACGTTTGGCATCACATACTACTTTTATTGCAAGACATCACTCATTTATCAAGGTAAAATTTATTAGAAATATTTGCTCATTTGTGGAACACCCACGAAAAAAGCTACTCACAATCCAAGGTTTTGCTATAAAACCCAGTGTAAGTTGGTGGAAATACAGGGCACAGGTAACAGAGGGTGTTGGTCCTTGGGGTCCCTAATTCCATGTGTGATGCTTTGCAGCCTCAGTTTACCCATCTATACCACAGTTTTGATTCAGTGTTCTTATGATCCCTTCCAGAATCGTGACATTTTCTGGGACCTTCTTGGTAATTCCTGCTAATTCTTGATTACTCCTGCCACCTGGTGGCGGGATCTGAAACTTGTGGAACTCAAGGATGAAATAGGAAGTGGTGTGTGTGTGTGTGTGTTGTGTTTGGGGGTGGGGCAGAGTAGATGTAAGCGTTGAGAAGGGCACCTGTGGACGTATTCTGTAACATGTAATGGATTGTTTTACCTCTGGTAGAGTGTGCGCCTTGGCTTTTTAACGTTTTCAGGAAGAACAAAGTCTATCATTTGAGGATTTCCAACAGAAACGATGGGGGTGTTGTGGGTGTTGATTGGAGCTAGAAAAATAATCCTTAAGACATCGCTTTGCTTTGTCTTATTGCTTCTCGTCAAATTGGAGTCATAGGGCCTGAATGGGTGATCGGTCCATAATTACTTCTTGGCCTGTTGTTTTTGACCATCTACTTAGCAATTCAGATTACTAGATACATTAGTATAGATTACTAGATATCTTAGTACACTGAACTACAATGAATATTGTGTTCTAAATGCAAGCTTGTCACTCCACTGAATGGGTGACAATATTGTGGTATTTGTAAGCAGCTTACAGCATGCCATGTAATTTCTCTTGTTAGTGTTAGTTGCTGGGTGTACTCCATTCTGCCTTGAGATGCTCTGAATGGCAGATCCTTGAGCCTGGGGTTCCATCCTGAACTTTCCATGCTGTTCGAACAACTATAGGTCCACAGTGAGTGTTGCAGTGAATACAGATGGACAGAGGTGTTTAAAATTATTTATTTATTTATTTATTTATTTATTTATTTATTTATTTATTCCTTTCAGTTTCTAAACCATTCAACCTCTAAAACATGAGAAATCACTGAAACCATTTCCTCCCCATCTACTTAAGGTATTTCCCTTCTATAGAATTATAGCTGAACATGTAGCCACCCAGAAAAATGGTGACATTTCCACTTATAATTAGATTCTGGCCAATGAAGTACAAATAGATGTGGTGCCCTGAGTGGGGCAGCTCAGGAATATGCCTTAAGAGATGGCTGGCAGGTGCTCTTTGTCCCTTACATTTTTTCCTACACCATGCTGCCTTGTGTGTGGATGGCTCCAGCCAGGCCATGAACATGAACACAAGAGCCCCATCCTGGGGATGTTAGAGCAGTGAGTGAGTTGTAGGGCTCTTGGGTTCCTAAAACCCAGAGTAGTGCTTCCACTCCAGCTCTATACTACCTACTTCCCGACCTTTATCTGCAGGATACAAGCTTCTCCCTTGTTACTTTTGGTTTTGCTTTTATTTGCACCTGGATTGATATAATACATAGTAGGTACACGACACAAGGTTAAACTCTTTGAAGTCCTGTGATCCAATGATCTCCATTTTTACAGATGAAGAAACTAAGGCAAACATAAGTGCATTGCATGACTCAGGTTATATAACCAGGATAGCCAAGATGGGATCTGAACTCAGACCGGCCAACCCCAGACTATCATGCCTGTAGAGTTTAGACCTCAGGGCAGGACCCTTTGGTCTTGGGAATGTCTAAAGAGATAGTGGTAAACCCTAGAGGAGAAAGCAGGAAAAAACCTCTCTGACCTCAGCTGCAGCAATTTCTTACTTGACACATCCCCAAAGGCAAGGGAATTAAAAGCAAAAATGAACTACTGGGACCTCATGAAGATAAAAAGCTTCTGCACAGCAAAGGAAACAATCAACAAAACTAAAAGGCAACCAACGGAATGGGAAAAGATATTTGCAAATGACATATCAGACAAAGGGCTAGTATCCAAAATCTATAAAGAACTCATCAAACTCCACACCTGAAAAACAAATAATCCAGTGAAAAATGGTCAGAAAACATGAATAGACACTTCTGTAAAGAAGACATCCAGATGGCCAACAGGCACATGAAAAGATGTTCAATGTCACTCCTCATCAGGGAAATACAAATCAAAACCACACTCAGAAATCACCTCACGCCAGTCAGAGTGAACAAATCAGGAAACTATAGATGCTGGCGAGGATGTGGAGAAATGGGAACCCTCTTGCACTGTTGGTGGGAATGCAAACTGGTGCAGCCACTCTGGAAAACAGTGTGGACGTTCCTCAAAAAATTAAAAATAGATCTCCCCTATGATGCAGCAATAGCACTGCTAGGAATTTACCCAAGGGATACAGGAGTGCTGATGCATAGGGGCACTTGTACCCCAATGTTTATAGCAGCACTCTCAACAATAGCCAAATTATGGAAAGAGCCTAAATGTCCATCAACTGATGAATGGATAAAGAAATTGTGGTTTATATACACAATGGAATACTACGCGGCAATGAGAAAGAATGAAATATGGCCTTCTGTAGCAATGCGGATGGAACCGGAGAGTGTTATGCTAAGTGAAATAAGTCATACAGAGAAAGACAGATACCATATGTTTTCACTCTTATGTGGATCCTGAGAAAGTTAACAGAAGACCATGGGGGAGGGGAAGAAAAAAAAAGAGATTAGAGAGGGAGTGGGCCAAAGCATAAGAGACTCTTAAAAACAGAACAAACTGAGGGTTGATGGGGAGTGGGAGGTAGGGGAGGGTGGGTGATGGGTATTGAGGGGGGCACCTGTTGGGATGAGCACTGGGTGTTGTATGGAAACCAATTTGACAATAAATTTCATATTAAAAAAAAAAAAGAGATAGTGGTGTACCTACAGATGAAAGTACCCTTCCACGAAGAAGGCCTGATTTGAACTATAGATATCAAAAGACCAGTCAGAATGGCTAGAATGAAAAGATAAGAAATAACAAGCGTTGGTGAGGATGTGGAGAAAAAGGAATCCTTGTGCACTGTTGGTGGAAATATAAGTTGGTGCAGCCACTATGAAAAATAGGTAGAAGTTCCTCAAAAAATTAAAAGCAGAACTATCTTAAGATCTAGCAATTCCACTTCTGGATATTTATCTGAAGAAAACAAAAACACTAACTCAAAAAGACATATGCACCCTTATGTTTATTGCAGCATTATTTACAATAGTCAAGACATGGAAGCAATCTAAGTGTCCATCGATAGACAAATGGATAAGGAAGACGTCATCTATATCTATAGCCAACAGAATATTATGCAGCCATAAAAAGGATGAGAT